ATGTAATTAAATATTGTAAACTACTTTATAAAAATTTTTTTAATTTTTTAAAATAAAGATATCCAAAGTATCACCCGTTGGACTGGAGTGATAGTGCAGTGCATAGGATGTTTACTTTGCATGCAGCTGACCCAGGTTTGATCCCTGGCACCCCATATGGTCCCCCACACCTGCCAGGAGTTATCTTTGAGCACAGAGTCAGGAGTAAGCCCTGAGCATAGCCAATCATGGCCAAAATAAAGCAAAAAATAACAAAAGAACAAAGTATATATGTGTTGTGCCAGGTATATATGACTGTGTGTGTGTTATTTCTGGTTTGTATGGGTCATGTATGCATGAATGGTGTGTGTGTGTGTGTATGTGGGTGGTACATGTGTAGGTGGTATGCAGTGTGTTATGGGATTTATGTTATGTATGGTTTCTACATGCTATGTAATGTTTGTGTATATGTGGTATGTATGATGTGTATACACACACTTAACATATCTAATATACTTGTCTCACATAAAAAGAGATTATACATTTTCCAGGTCAAATTTTATATTGTCTACTAATCTCAAAATAATTTATTAAGCTGCTTTCAAATCATTTAGATATCACTTACATACATATCACTCTATAAGACATTTTTCAACAATTTTTGTTTATTGGTTTCTGGGCCAAACCTTAAACTTATTTCAGACTTCAGACTCTGTACTCAGGTTTTATTCTTGGCCGTGCTTGGGAGACCATATGGGGTTCCCAGGATTGAACAAATGTAGGCTGTGTGCAAGGCTTACCTCACCTGCTATATTGTATCTCTGGCCTCTCCACAATTTTAAGGGAAAAAATATCAATACTTAACATTCTACTTAGTATCAAAGAATATTTTTAAAATCTAAACTAGAACAAAATTTGGTCATCATCATGACATGTTTTGGAGGCCAGAGTGATGGTACAGAGGGCAGGGCACTTCCCTGTCATGCAGCTGGTCTGGGTTCAGTCTTGGGCACCCCGCTATGGTCCATTGAGCCCAGTATGAGTGATCCCTGAGCACAGAGCCAGGCATAAGCACTGAACACTGCTGGGTGTTTCCCAAAAGCCAAAAAAATAAAAGAATAATTTTAATAACTTAAAAATAATGACATATTTTAACTGTATTTGAAATCACTTTGCTGATAAGTACCTAGCATGACCTTTACTTACAACTATTAAAGCAATATATCATAAGGGGGAAAAAAGTCATTTGTATGGACACTGAAGCCAGTGAAAAAACAACAATTAAGAATTCATGCTACATGCATTTTTCTAAAGACCATCTATAAAAAGCAGCAGGACATTTATAAATAACTTATACCACCCGAAATAGCCTCAGATTCCTAAGTGAGGAAAGTACAATCCTTTTCAGGGTGTTCATATAAAATCAAGACTTTGTTTCCAAACAAACCTAACATTCGAGGAAGCAATTCAATAGATTTCTACAGGTAAGATCTGTGAATAACTTAAAACTTAAACTTGCTGGTGGCTAGCTATCACATCACAGACTAACATCCATGAATATAGTCTGAGGAGATGCCCAAGTTCATGTTCAAGTCTGACACCTGCATAGATAGATATATCTCCTGTCTTGCTGATTGGTGAGCCCCAAATGTATGTGCTTTCCTTGGGGTCTCCTGATTCTTTCAAGGCACTCCAGTGAGCCCAAAATGTGCTCACTTCTAAGGCATTTTGGGGTCTGTTGTGTCATTACGTCATTACGAAAGTAGGACGCCTTGTCTCGCCCGCCTTCCCCCCCACCCCGAATATCCCCCACCCTTCCACCCTGCCAGGCCAAGAGCTAATCCAGATTATGCCACACATACTGCTTCTCACTGCTGGGTATCAGAAAGTTCTTCCATCTTGCCAGAGGCTGTCTTCAGCACCGAGCCAATGTCCCTTCCTTCCTAAGGAAAATCCCCACTCTGTGGGCCCAGACACAGCACTTCAAAATGGCCCTTTGAAACCTGCTGTAGACCCACCTCACCAACAGGCACTTGGGGTCCTTGCTTGGGGGACAACAGAATAATCAATGCCTGATTCTGCCTTTTAGGTCCACTTTAAAAATGGTCTTTAAATGAACTGAAGTAAAAATAGTCATTGTTCTTTTTGCTATTAGTTTTTTTTTCCTTCCTATCAAGGGCCTTTTCTCTCCTTCTGTCCCTTTTATGTCACCAAAAGGAAAAACATAAAATGACAGGCATCACTTAGGGGGTACTGAGGTGTCTGAATGAAGCCACCCAACATAAATATGAACCCCAAGGGGTTACATAAGTCAGAGGCTTCCTTATTTGCATCAGCTCATGCTGTTATTAACAGTCAACTCAACTGACTACTGGAAAGCCTAATTAATCATGCTCTAAGCTCTGCATTCTAATGTTGCTTGGAAATTTCTTCTATTTGTCAATTTTTAGGTTTCATTAATTAATATTACAAACTACTGTGCAAATAAACTGATGTTTCCTAGATGAGACAAACCTCCCAGACTTCCATATTTTGCATTTTTTACTTTCACACAGGAAGATTCGGCTCAAATACTTTAATAATAAATAGTGTGCACAGTCATCTAATATTGGTTGTAAATAGAGATTTCTATGAGAGAGAAGTCTATAATTAACAGCACATGAATCTTCCAGGAAAAAATGGAGACATGTGGGAGTTTTCCTAAATTTAGAAATAAATTTAAATCAAAGAGAATAATAAATTCTCTCCCAAAATACTATGCCTTTAGTTTTGGGAATTCATATATAGTCAGATGATAAAGATCATTTCCTTCGATCTACCAGAAATCTTCAAAGGCAATAGAATGTCACTTGATAAATCAGCAAATAACATCTAATTAATATTTTTTCACGTTGTGAATGGCAAGAAAATGAGCTTATGGTTTAGAAGAACCTAGTCAAGGCAACACTGAGCTCTGGCAGAAACACAGATGATGATGAGTGAGAGTCAGACATGTGCCGAAACACTGCGTCCAGCATTAGTGTCCGTTTCCTGTGTGATTCCAAATTTCTCCAGGAAATCCCAGAGCAATGACCGAGCTTGTTTTCACATGAGCCCACATGCCCAGCCGAGGCTGGACCCAGCATAGCACCATCAGCCATGCTACGCATTCCTACTTTACTGTCACCCCTTCACTCTGAGTGGCAGCGGCCCCAAACCAGGTGGTCTCAGCCATCCTAATCCTGAGCTGTGGGAGCTTACACAGTAAGAGCTATGGGAGTGTTAGACTCCAAATTTATCAAATGGCCACACAGAGCTGACTGGTTTCAGCTTGCTCATCAATATTCAATCACAGCCAACCTTTTAAACCACAAGTCTATTTTCACTCTTCAAAAAGCCAAAGAAAACCGTAAAATAATTTAAAAATTAATAAACAAAAATTTTTAAACTATGGTGCCTGGAATTGAACCCAGGGACTCACATGTGCAAAGCAGAAAGCAATGCTCTACTACTGAGCCAAATTCCTAGCCCCAAATATAAGAATTTTTTTTGAAAACTTTAAAGCATAAGTTTGAGAATTCTCCATTAGAGGCCCACCCTCTCTAACATGGCAATTATTAAAAAGCTTTGTTGAGGTTTCACTATTTCATTATTTTTAATGCAGGCTCCTTTTTTTCTATGGAGACAGCAATTATACTAACACAGTCAAAGTGATCTATGCTACAGTGGCACTCGACCTCAAAGTTGTCAGGCTCTCTTGTTCAGATTTGTTTTCTTTCTGTCTCCAGCTCCTGGTTATGTAATTTAAAGGAGTCTGAGACAATCATCATTTGCTTTTACAACAAACTCAACCAGATGTGCTATTTTAAGACTGACCCCCATCTCTTCTGATAAGACCTAAGTCCATCTTCTTTAATTAATTTTTTGAATGAGACTTAAATTTAAAGCAGCCTGAAGAGAAGATGAGGCCACATTTTAAACGCTGGTGGTCACATTTCATAAATACTTTCTATGAAAGAACAATTCGCACAATGAACTGTTTCCCTTTAGTATTTTGGCTTTTTTGTCTGAGGATTGGGCCTGCAAGTTTTTTGCGTTTTTGTTTTTAACAAGACCTGTTTCCCACAGGTACAGATCAAGCTCCCTGAAGGTCCTCAATATCATTGACAAAACTGCAGGCATCAATTTTAGGTCTCATTTCTATTCAGTAGGAAACCTTTCTGGAAAAAAACACATAGAAATAACAGGTGACCAGACCTGGGGCGTGTCTACCGTGTCTACCCAACTGTGGGGCGTCCAGCGCCCCTGTGGCTCCCGCGCAGGAGATGAGCAAAAAGCTTATTGGTGGCAGCATTTGTCCTCTCGATACCACCAAACGTTTACCTCTGGAAGGATTCTCTAGACCTCCCTCAGGCATGCTTTTCTTTCTTTCAGTACATCTCCTGTCCATGACTCTGGGAGACACCCCCACGCCCCCACCCCAATCCCCCCCCCGCGCGCGCGCACACACACACACACACACACACACACACACACACACGTTCAACCCCTTTAGCCTATTTAAATGGCAACTCCAGGGGGAAATGGTCCCAAACGCTGCTTCTACGACTGTACAGACGGCCCCCAAGTAGCCCCTGTAGGTTGGAGCGAGTAGAGCCACACTGCACTGGAAGTTCTCAGTGTGAGGACAGTCGCCCACCCTGGCGACCGAGCACACACAGTAGTGGCGCTGCTTGCAGCGCCCTGCCAAGGCGGGTGCAGGGTGGGGGTGCCCAGTGCTTCCGAGGGCGCCCAGCGCCCTCAGTAGGCCTGACCCTGAGATTGCGAGCTCGGGGCAGCGGGGCCGCTGGCGGACACGTGCAAGAGCTACAGGACACGGGCCAGTCAAGACAGCGGCACCCGGGAGGGGGGATGGGAGCGGGGGGACCGAGGGCTCCGACCCCAGACAAGTCCGGGAGGTTGGGATGGAGCGCGCGCCCGGGCCTCCGGGACACCGCGGAGGGCGCTGCCGCCCGGGTGCCCCAGCCGACGCCCGCACCCACCTTCACGATGTAGGTGACGCCGGCGCCCAGCACCTGCTCGCTGGCGAGGGGGACCCGCGCCGCCGGAGGCTCCTCGGCCGGGCGGCCCTTCCTGGCGGCGCGCATGGCCGGGGCGCTCGGGCCGCGGGGCGCCGCGCCGTCCGGGCCGGCCAGGCTGGGCGCGCTGCAGCTGCCCGACAGCCGCGCGCCCGCCCGCTCCCGGGCGGCCGACGACAGGCCTCGGAGGCCCGAGCTGGAGAGTTTCAGGTGGGACACCTTGTGGAGCAGGTGGCCCAGGCTGCCCGGGCCATCGTCGGGCGCCCTGCGCAGCGCCTCGCCGGACACCAGGTAGGGGGCCGCCGCCGCCGGGTCCGCGCGCGCTGCCGAGCCTTTGCCGCCGCCGCCGCTCACCGACAGGTTGTGCAGAAGGTCATCGACCGATGTCACCGAGTCATTCCTGAAGCGGTTGTACTTGGTGCGTGGAAGCATGCCCCTCCGTGGGCTCGCCGCATGCGCCCGGGCGCTGCTGGAGCCGGCCCCGGCGCGGGCTGCTGCGCATAGCAGGCGACCCTGGGGCCCCCCGGGCGGGACGCAGCGGCCCGGGACAGCCCGCCCCAGGGGCGCGAAGCCGCCGCACCAGCCCGCCCGCCCTTAGCGACCCGCCGTGCGGGGGCCGCGCAGCCCCGGGCCGGGAGACGGCTGCGGACCGCAGCTCGCTGGCCGTGCAAAAGTCATAGTTTCCTCCGATGCGCGCCCAGCTGCTTCGGGTGGCTCACAGCGAAAGCATGACTCAGTCGGAGAGCCGACTCTTCTCAACAAAGGCTCCGTGAGCACTGCAAATCACTTCCTGTAGCAAGGAAAAAAAGGGAAAAAAGAAAAAAAAACACATACACCCACTGACAGCACTCCAGAGCCAATCAATTCTCAAATTGCTTTTTTCTACCTTCCCAGATATTCCTTCCAACCTTTGATTTTTCACCTCCCCAATCCCCCCTCCCCCTGCATTTGTGCCAAAGGTAGATCCAGCTCCTTCAGAGGCTCGTGAACTTTCTGAAAAGCATTTCTCCCTCCGAGGGTGTTCGTATCCCCCTTGCGCGCATCTCTCGCCAGCAGAGTCTGCCAGGGAGGCGTTAAAATGTGACGAAGGATTTTTAAGAAAAGAGCTTCAGCAAAGCCTCCTAAATTCGGATTTGGAAATCCGCAGGGATTTTTTTCAATTCCCACTCCCCCTTCCGCCACCCTCCAAACCGCCCCCACCCCCAAAGGGGGGATATTTACTCCAAGGTGAACAGAAAATAACAATTTTCTGAGGTTTATCCTTCCCCTCACCTCCCTCTTTTCTTTACAAATCCACAGAGCGGCCATGACAAATGTTTTGTGGCAGTGCAGTTCCTCGCCAACCCCCCCCCAAAAAATCTGCATATGAACTCCTTTCAGGGAGCCAGCTAAGGTACCCCCTCCTTTGCTCATTTGCAGCAGTCATTCTCAGTCAGGGGTCACTGGAATACCTACTTCCAAAAAAGAGAGGGCTTCTCGGAGGAAGGGCTCCAGGTACCCATTCCTCCCCAAAAGGGGGGCTCGTCTGCAGCTTTCTTCCAGCTGAAAGTGTTCGAGCTGTGGAAAAATGCCTAAGAAATGCTATAGACACTTCTCAGTGCTCCCTCAGTAATCCCAGCGATCCCGCAGTCAGGGGAGGGGGCCTTGCAGACTCTGGTTCCATATCAAATATGCACACGGGAGGAGGGAAGGCTTTCTTCTCAGGAGTCAGCTGCAAGCAATAGGCACAGGCCTTCCTCAGGCTTGAAGCAGAGCCCCGGCAGCCCCTCGGAGGTCTGCAGAGATTCAAACCCACGTCCCCCCTCGCCTCAGGCCCTGGGAGTCTTGCGTGGAGACAGACTCAGCGCAGAGGCTGCGCCCTGCCCAAGTTCCCAGGTCTGTGCGAGCAAATCAATTTACCTCTCTCCGGTTAAGTGGTCCCCCTGATCGCCTCACACCCTCGACTAGACATGTGACCCATGCAGAGCTGTGTGCAGAAGGAGGCAGCGCGTGCCGCTCCTGGCGACAGGCGAGGCCAGCAGTGGGGTCCTGGGCTCCGAGGGACAGCCGCTCCTCTCCCAGGGCCGCAGGCCTAGCAGAGCAGTCGCAGGCCGCCGGCTCTTTCCCTGCCCCTGGCCAGCATAGCAACAGCAAACAGACCCCCCAGAGATGGTGGTGGGGGCTGTCCAAGCCCCCCCAGGTCTAATGCAAAAATGCCCTATCATTCCCAAGCCCTGGTCTTCATTAGAAGCAGACAAAAAGACAGCAAAATGTGAATGAAATGCTGTTTGTGTGAATGAAAGGGCCGGCGAGCGAGCCAGCGTTTCTGTGAATGAAGCAGACCCTGCAGCCGGCGCCAGGCAATCCCGGGTTCCAGCGGCCCCAGCCAATCGGCGGCCGCCGCGGTGACTCATTCAACAAAGGCTGGCTCAATAGTGGAAGATTCCATTTCAATCAAAGGCGGGATCTTTCATCCAACGGCAGTGTGGGAAAAAAAAAAAAAGTAAAAAAAAAGCAGGCTGATTATCGAGATGCAGGGGACAGGGACAGCTGTTATGGAGAAAGGAAAAAGCTACTTTTCTCAAGGAAATTCAAGAATCACTGCTCGGGTCTCAGGGTGCACGGAATGCTCTCTTAGAGGTGAGCTGTCCCCCAAACTTTCATTCAGCTCTTCATTTACATCAAGGAGCAGGCATGAATGTGCCATTCGGCTCACTTTATTATGAATGTACAGTGAATGCACATTCAAAACCTAGGCACCTCGCCTTGATTCTTTTTGTGAAAGGAACAGAGAACATGCGTGCACGGTCTGAATCGCCAAGGAGGAGGAAGAAAAAAAAAAATTCACGCTACACGGTTAACCCTTTAGCCAACAAGAGATTTTCATTTCTTTAATGGGGATATCGCAAGCCAAGAGAGAATTGTTTTTTAAATTTAAATAGTACATAAATTTACAACATGTAAGATGAATAATTATCCAAGAGGATGATTTGAAATGCCAAGAATGGCAACTTGCACCGCCAAACCTCACCTCCTGGGGAGATGGTACCGGCATTTGGAACCCAGGAGAACAGACAAGAAAACCCCCCTAAGGCACTTCCGTGCCAAAATAGAAGGTGCAAGCCCAGCCCCTTTCTCCCCGACACCAGCAAGGCTGCCCCTGCTTCTTTTAGATCAAATTCCAAAAGCCTGGTATCCGGTTTTTCTATCTATGACAACATGCAGATGGATGAGAGATAACATTTTCACAGCCTGGGAGCACAGAAGAAAACAGGGGAAAAAGGAAATCATCATCCTCACGTTCATCTTGAGGCTCGAGAAAGCCTCTGGGATCCCTTATGGCTGCCTTTTCCAGAATATTGCTTTTTCTATGTATAAATTTACCATGTAAAGTGTTCTGGTTTTCTATTGCTGTGGTAACAAATGCCACAAAGTGGGTGGGTTGAAAATGATGCAAATCAGTTTCCCTCAGTGCTGCGGGGTCCGGCATCTGTGGTGGGCAGTGTGGCATGTGGGCAAGGGTATTCTTCTGGAGGCCCAGCCCTTGCATACTGCCTGTGTTCCTGAGAAGGTGCCATGATTTGGACCTGGGGAATTTGACTTTGCCTGTTTGATGCAAAAGAGGCAGAAAATCTCAAATTGATGATTACAACCCAATGCCTACACACATATATTCATACACGTGAGATACAAAAACCATGCAAAAAATAGTGCACTGGGTTTATCCTGCTTTCAAGGGGAGAGGCTGCCCCAGCAGAGCTTTGAAGGATCCTTGGAATCTTCCAGGAAGACAGAGGGGAAGAGATACCTTTGCGGTGTGGCGACCAGGGAAGCTATTCAAGACAGCTTAGAATTTCCCGGAATCCTGGAGAGTTCAGTTGGGTTGCCAGAGATGAACAATGAACAATCTTCCCAACTCCCTCAAGACACACAGACTGGGCTATGGGGAGAATGCAGGTCGTGGTTGGTTTTCAGTGCACACCTGAGAGACACATGGCCCTGAGGGGAGCTGAGAAGGTCAACGGACAGCAAAAGACATCCTGAGGAGGACCAGAGCAGGAACAGTGGTTGGCGGTGGGGGGCTTGGTGGATTCAAAATATGGGGAGAAGGTACAAAGATCTGGATATTTGGATGAGAATGCTGATGTAAAGGTAAAGGTAAAGGCCCTCCCGTTGATCGTCGATTTGCTCCAGCGGGCCCAGTAACGTCTCCTTTGGAGACTTTGTTGTTACTGTGTCTGGCATATCGAATACTCTCGGTAGCTTGCCGGGCTCTCCGAGAGGGGCGGAGGAATCGAACTCGGGTCGGCCATGTTGGCCGCTTGTAAGGGGAACGCCCTACCCGCTGTGCTATCGCTCCAGCCATATCCAGAATGCTGATGAGGGATGAGGGATGAGGGATGAGGAAATGGACGCAGGTGAACTGAGCTGGAGGCTGATACTGAGGAAGAATTCTGAGTGTGAGAAATTCAGTAAGGGCCCTCCTTATGGAAAGCAGGAAGAGGCTGCTGAATTGGCAACAGGGAAGATGGGGCTGTGAACATTCACACACACACACACACACACACACACACACACACACACACACACACAGAGCACACAGCCTGGAAGGTGTCCTCCAGAGTGTCTCTGCCGGGATCCTGCATGTTCTCTCTCTCTCAGTACTCACTCCTCTTACAGGCAGCCAAGGGCTGCCCCCAGGAAGGATGGCTTCTGATCACAGTCATGTGGTGCTCAAGTGAGCCCCTGAAGGCCACTAAACTACTTGCCATTCACACAAAACAGTAAAGCAAGAGGCATGTTTTGGAAGTGTTGGGATTCAGCGCCTCTGAGACTGACTGAGCTGAGTCTCCTCAGTAAGCAGCTCACAGGCAGCAGGTCGGAAGGTAGGTTTATGTGCATACGGGGATTTTCCATGAAGAAATGCCCAGTGCTGAGGACCAATAACCTCAAAGTCATGTCCTAGGGGGAGGGACGGATCAGGAGGAGTCTCAGTGGAAACTAAGAAAAATAACATCAAGTCTAGGGGTCTTTGTCTATTCCAAAACTAGACCCGAAACACCATAGTCTTGGAACTGAAGGAATAAACATCCTTTTCTCACTGTTCTGGAAGGTGGAAGTCCAAGATCAGGCATGTGAACATAGTCTAGGCCCAGTGAGAACCAGGTCCTGATACATATATGACCTCTCCTTGACACTGTGTCTTTAGGTGGAGGAAGGAGTGAGGGATCATTCTGGGGGTTCTTGGGAGACTCTATTTGATTCCATTCATGAGATTTCCCTCATAGGATCTAATCCCTTCCCAAGAGCCCAACTCCTAGTATCTTCACATTATGGGTTAGACTTTAACATGAGTTGGAAGAGACACAAATGTTGGCCTGCAGAGGAAATCCTTGATGAACGAGATCAATGCTGGCATTTGTAATGATCCCCGTGTGCTGATTATGTGTATCCATCCTCTCCTTCAGACACTATGACCTGTGCTAATGAGTCTATACCAAGTTTTGTACCCAAAGAAACTGAACATCAGAGGGTTGCAAAACCTTCCAGGCTGTCGATCTAAATCCACACTTATGATCCTTGCCTGACCCAAAACAGAAAACTTGAATATGCCAAGAGATACCTTCAAAGTGGTGATTATTTAACGTGATCTCCTAGCAAGGGTGATTGACCCAGTACTGCTTAAACTGCAGATGGGACCAATCAAATGAGAGACTAAAATAAATTCTAAAAGAAGAACGCTACTTTCCTGAAGATTTGAAGAAATGAAATGTAAGAGGAAGGACAGGAGTACTCATAGAGAATAAAGTGGGTGATGGAAAAGATGGGGAATTTGGAGGGTGAGATTAAAACAGAAGGACATAAAGGATGATCAATAATGACGGGGCTTGTAGGGGACTGGGATTAGGACTCTGCCATTGCTCTTGATTATGGGACTCTTTGCCTTCTGGAAAGACAGAGGTATGAGAGCCCCCTCCTTCTGGGTAGAGTAGTAAAAAAAAGGTTGTTCCAAGAAAGAGACCTTAATGCACAAGCACTTTCAAGGATGGGTTTTAGGGCATCAAAAGGACTGTGGCACTCTAGTGAATTCTAGGAACCAGAAATCATTACCAACTTTAGGGTTGAAGGATCAGAAAACTAATGGAGTCTCCAGAGCAATAGAAATTCTAGCCAGAACTTTGGATGGACCTGATCAGTGGGGGACAAGGGTTGGGAGTAAGGGGGAGGAGCTGTAATTTCATAGTAAAAACAAGTTCACGGCTAAGACATAGAAGGAGTTCAGGTGAGGAAATGGCAAAGGAAGTCCCAGACTCTCTCCTCCTTCTCCAGTCATTGCTTCCTCTGGTTAAACTCGGGGAAGTCAGGGGTCCTGGAAGCCTGGGGATGGGTTGCAGGGATCAGCCTCCAGGCAGAGGAGGCTGTGCAGGGACCCGCAGCTGGAACAGAGCCAGCCTAGGAGCCAAGCCAGCAGAGTGCGCGTGCCTGCAGATAAATCTGTCTGTGGCCACGGGTGGAAGCCAGAAGATTTTTATGTCTGATTGGGATGCTATGTCTGATTTTCTCCATAATATAAAAGGGGAGGTGTACAAAGAATGAAAGGGGCTCATTAAAGTAACAAATGTGAGTTGAGGGCAAGCATGCTGATGCCCACTGAAGGGCACAGAGAATGCTACTGATGACAGAGGCAGGGTCTGTGCCTCTGCAAGGCCTTCCAAACCCACCAGGACTCTGAGGTCCTACTGGAAGAGATCCAATTTTCTACAAGCATGTTCACCTATCTACACATTCTTACGCATTAATGGCTAGAGGGAAGGGTCATTAAGGGTGCAAGAGAAGGCCCATATAAGTAGGCTGATATAGGTCACAGGATATGGGTGAAAGAACAGAGGTAGCAGAAACCAAAGGAACAGCAAAGGCAGGCACAGAGATTGCAGGTCCTGGGGGGAAATGGCATTCTGAGTCCCTTGAGTTTCACATGCAAAGGAGACTCCAGGGAGCAGAGAGTCTCTAACACATCAGGGAGGAAAGTGGGGATGAACCTCACCAACAGCAGCTGGGGGCGAGTGTAGGAGGCAGGAGGGAGGATGGTTAGTTTCACGGTGTCTGGAGTCATCCTGGAAGGAGCTGGGGGTGCCAGGGAGCTAATTCCTCATGACAGTGTAAGAAGGAATTGAATAGTCGGGAAGCTTCTAGAAGGAAAAAAAAAACATGAGCCACAAAAAAAAGCCACAACAAACCTGACAATAGATGGAGATGTGGGTACCAGAACTGGGGGTGTCCAGAGACCAGGGTAACAGATAACGTTTTCCACAGAGACCCTTGGTACTCACTATCCACTTCCTGGGTACAGGGATATCTGTGATCTGTGAGCACCTGTATTTGGTAGACCGTGGTGCAAAACCCTTCTAAAAGCTGCATCCCCCTTTTTATCAGAAATTAATTCACTTAATCAATCAAGCACACCAAGACAGATTTGGCTGGAAAACCAGGAAATCTTTACTTGCACCAGATGTCCAGGCTAGGACCATAGCTAGGCAAAGCACCTGAAGCTACTGGCCCCAGTTATGGGTTATAAGGGCACTAATATTGGAGCATATGCAGGGCATGTGACTTCTTATCTAGAATAAGAAGTCAGTAGAAGTACAGCAATGACACTGGGGTTAAAGTACAGCAAGAACATCGTAAGGCAAGGGGTTACAATCATGCATTGTAAGATAAGGGTGTTTACATCAAAGGAAGTTGGACAAGGTTATTTACAGCAAGAAAAAAGAAGTTCCCTGAAATCTGGGGATTGTGGCTTTGCAGTGAATGGCATGTACAAATCATGAACCTCATGTTAAACTCCCAATCTCTCAGCACCGTGGACAGCTCCCTTCACAGCTTGAGTTTATGATTCATAGACCGCTCCTTGCAGACACCGGCAGCCTCACCA